CTTTGCTAAATTTCCATCTTATGAATTATTTTATAGAAAGCAGCAAGTTCTTTTTTGCCAGTGCAGAAGTCTGTTTTAATACTTAATGTCATAGTGGACCTAGTTTTCTTGTGGCTTTGCTCTCCATTTGGTTTGTTTTAGCAATCACGACTTATTTTTGTTCTTTTTCAGTTGAAGAGGGTGAATCTTCAGATTTTGCTTTGACCTGGGACTCATCAGTGACTCAATCAGGTAAATATTTTAGGTTCTTCTGATTGCAAAAACTGCCAGAAAGCTGCCAGGCTTTTTACAGGAACTGTATTTTGTATGTCACATTCCTGTCTCAAATCCAAGACTACCCACTGCAACACAATTTTTATATCAGTTCCATATGGTCAATAAAATCTATTACATACAGAGACTAATATACTCTTATCCTCCAGAGAGACATTCTTTCTTCTTGTGGGCATACTGAAACGGGTTGTGATTTCTCCAGTATAACCACTTTGAAGTTTTCTGCAATGGGCACTGTTGCACATTCATTCCAATCTAATTACATAAAAGCTGCTTTAATAGGAATTTTAAACCTCAGTCCTAGACTGGAATGTGTGTATTTCTCCTCTTGGAGGAAACTGGAAAGTACTGTCAGGGCTGGAGAATAAAAGTGGTACATCATCATGGTAGAGAGACTTAACATTTGAACGAGCTTTTGGTCTGCTTGATAGCAATAGCACTTAAACACATGTCTTGGGCTTGTTCACCTGTATTGCATTGATAATGTGAATAAAAAGAGGCTCAGGAAACTGAACAGGATAAAGCAAGTTTGTGTGTAGTTGTGCAATGTGTGCTGATAATGTGAGGGTAAATGCCAGACCAGTTTGCATTTGAAGCCACATCTTAGTCACTGTTTGTGCCCTGTGTAAACATATTTTACAGTCTGTTATGTCTTTAATGTTTATGAAATTCTCATAATATTTTTGATCTTGAAGCCAATAAATCTATTTCTGTGCTCTCTTCATACTGGACCACACAATGGCATTCTCTTAGAAGCTCAGCGGCGATGTGAAAACAGCTCAGAAGCCGAGCAGTAATACGAAAATTAACAATGGTGCTGCACTCCTGGTTAGCATGGGGTTTATGAGAGCCACGGGGAGACTGGCTCACAGGAGACTTTTCTCACTGAACGCAGCATCTAGCTGGTCTCGAAGGCATGAACAGCCTTGGTGTGGCACATTGTGGCATTTTGCTGTGTACCAGCTGCGCTCCCAGTTGCGCTGGGTGCATCTTCTCTGGGTGCTGCGGCTGTTTCGAACAGTGTGTTTTCACTAGGCTTTGATAGCAAATATTGCTGCTGCTGCTGCTGCAAACCCCCAGCTGCGATGTCGAAGGCCCCTTTGTGCCTGGAGCTAACGGCGCATGAAAAGAGCGCTCGCTGGCTCTCTTGCTTGACCTTCGTCTCAAACAGCAGTGGAGTGGAGTTACTGTGTTATCTATCACAAGTCTTGAATTGTATTAAATTTAACACAGGCTGCGGTTCAAAACAGCAACAACAAAAATCGTTTCTGTGCAGAGCCGGAGTTCATTTGGGATTTCTGGATGGTGTTGGTGACTATGCTGTAAGTAAGAGACAGCCTGTGAAAAGCTTTTCCCAAATTAGTTGAGTCTCCTCCATTTTTCTTAATTTACTTGCGTAATTACAGCTCTCATTCAAGATGTCGGAAGTGGGATAAATCGTATTGTATGTGTGATTTATGGCAGCTTAAGGCAAATGTGTGCTGATTGGGAGATTTTCCTCTTGCTACTTTTAGTAGCTACAGATGTCAATCTTGCACGTGTATAAAGATGCAATACGATACCCTATGAAGAAGGTGCAGTGCGTGGGACAGGGGTTGCAGGCTGGAATATGATTGAGGAACTACACAGAGAAAGCTTAAGAAGCCGTGATTACGTGGTGGTGTGGCTGTGTGGAGTCACTGGCTCTTGTGTGGTGTGCCTCCAAAGCTATATTCAGTAACTGAAACCAGTCCCTCAGTCCCAGTGTGCAAGACTTTCATTATGTTCTTTTACGATCTTCCTGTTTGCATTAGCTCCAGTAGTGTGATGCTGAAGTTCAATAAAGGGTGAAAAAACATGCTTCAGCCTCTCACTTCATGCCCCCTCCTTCCTTGGCCCAAAATGACAAAATTGCCTCCACTTCCTTGACCCCACCAACAGGAAAAAAAAAAAAAAAAAAAGGCCAAACTGGGACTTGTTAACTCTGAAACCTTTGCCAGATGTTTCAAATTAACGTATTTCTCTTCTTTCTCCTGTATGTGTTTGTACATCACTGTGTGTGCACAAACACATACGAAGCAACTCCTGCTAAATTCTGTTGGCGCTCTGTGTGGCTGCCGTGGGCCAGGGCAGCTGCGTCCCAGGGTGGTTTGGTACACAGAGACAGCGAGAGCAGGTAGAATGCAGTTAAACTTTTTCCTTTTCTTTATATTTTTTTGTGCTAACAGAACATTTATATAGATGCAGTTATGGAGCAAGAAGCTGCTTTTGCTGCTGTACTTATTTTGCTCATCAGACGAGTAGTAGCTATATTGGAAATTCTTTTTTTTGTGAGTACAAGTTGAATCTGCAGTTGTGGGGCTTGTCCAAGTACCTGTGGCAGGTGTTTTTCAGTGCAAGTCCAACACTGGGGTCCAAGCTCTGTGTCTCAGAGTGGGTTTCTCTGCTGCCGAAGTGCACCGAAGGTGCTGGGTTTGCACATCCCTGACTGGACCACGGCACTGGGTGAGGGGCTGCTGGGGGGGCTGCTCAGTGCAGCTCACAGACATTTGGCAGTGGGCACGGTGGCAACAGAAGTCCTGTGCTCAGATGGGTCTGCTCAGTGGTGACTTCATACAGGGCACTGTCCTTTCGCCTGTGGTAGAGCATGGGTACAAGTTGCTGTCTTCTCTGGCTTAACTGCTCCTTCCTGGTAAAACCTGCAAAGGCGAAAAATGCTTTGCATAGTTGCAGTAAAGAAGTTATTCAAGTACTTTAAAAACAACTAGATATAGCTTTATGAGTTTTTTTATTTTTTAATTATTTTTTTTATTACCCCAACTTAAAGGCTGTATGTATTAACCTAGAGAATCAGGAAAATATATAAGACAGAGGCTGCCCTTGCACCAGGGTAAATAGTCTGGGTGTCTACCAGCCCTGATTAACAATGGGCGTATAGTGAATTTCCTTCCTCTTCAGGTCTTGTAAACATTTTTTTTTGCTTAATGTAAAAGGAAGGAAAAAACCAGCTTTCCCCCTGTTAATCTGAGGATTTAGCTTGCTGTTAAATAGCAAGTCAGTAGTGTTTTGCTGTGTAAGAGGCAGAGCGCTTTGTGTCCCAGGGGAAGAGCACAGCTCAGTGCTCCTTCCCCTTCCCCGGCTTTTCTCTCTCAGCAGCACGTGCAGCCCTTGAAGCCCGTCCGTCCTGCTCCAGACAGGTCAGAGAGGGTGGGCTGGGCAGGGCTGCCAGGGGCCAGGCAAGCGCCTGCCTCGCTTTGCAAGAGTTTTTGGCTGCTTTGAGTCAAGAGAAAAATAAGATTCAGTATTTGCAAAGCGAGGGTCCAGCCAGACAATGCTGCATTGCTGTTCTAAAACATCATGAGAGTATTATCTTGAGGAGCAACAAGGGACATTTTAAAGAAGTAAAAGTCTTACTAAATATATAGAGAATTTAAGGTATTTTAAAGACCTGAGGGCATTTTACATGGGGGTTGCTGGGGAGTTTCTCATTAGCTGGACTGTGAGGCCCCAGGGAATCTTGGCTGAAACGCCTGGGGCAAACAGAGCAGATTCTGTCTCCTCCTTAGGAGCTTGCAGACCTAAAAGCCTGACTTTTTTCAATGTCTGCTTTTGAGGTAACTGAAGGTATCCTATTTTTGTATGCAGCTATGAGTTATGATACTGATTAAGAAAGAGTTTGAGAAATAGGGGAACGAACACATAGCCCGGGCACTGGGGCCCAGTGGCACTGGCGGTGTCTCTGCGCACGTTTGCAGCGCGCGGGGCAATCTTTGCAGTTTGGGACTGGAAGGGCCTTATCTGAGGCCAGTGCCCAACCAGCCATTAGCACATCATCAGTATCATTCAATTACAACATTTCAGAAATCACGAAAATAAATTACAGCTTGGTACCCCCCCTTTTGCCCATTAGCTGCAGCTCTGCTGTCTCTGCAGCAGCTGGGCACGTGTGCGAGGGACGCGCTAACAAAGCACAGCATCGCTTTAGGACATGGACGTTTCATGTTTTGCCCACGTGTTTGTTTTATACAGTATGCTACTTAAGATTTTTAATTGCCTTCTGCAATTTCTTTTAAAGTTTCCCCCTTTAAGGAGGGGGGAAAAAAAAAAGAAAAAAAGAGGGGAAGTAGCAGCTTTAGAGAAATGAACCACAAAAGAAAGCCATGCTGTGGTCACCCTGTTTCCCCTCTCTTATGCTGTGTATGCTACCTCCCAGCTACATAAATCGCAATTTTCACGGTATCTTCAGAGGAGGAATATCTTGATACAGTTTGTAGACTTATTTTCACTCAGGGCTAGCGAATTCTGTGCTGGGAGGTCTTAATGCTATCTCTGCTGCTCAGGGGTCTCCCTGCCTGTTCCTTCCTGGCTGTTCCCTGTGCTCTCCTCCACCATTGGTTTTGTGACGCTGGTGCTCCTGGCTGTCTGCTCCCCAAATGTTGAGAGTTTCTGTTCTCCCCTAACTGTTTTGTAGAGTTGGATTTAATTTTAGCTGCCAAAGGAGCAAAACGGATGACAGTCAAGGTCTCGTGAAGCAGAGCCTTGCCCCTGCAAGTATTCATGCATTAACTTTTTCCTCTGTTTTGTTTATTTGGATAAGCTACAGAAAATGTGTTCTCCTTCCTCACCTTTCCTCTTCTAGAGGCCACACCACGTTTGCCTTTGTCCAGCACCTGGGGCTTGCACTCCCCAGCATGGTCCACTGCCTGGTGCCCACCAAGGCCAGCATCCTCACGGAGCCCCGTCCCTGTGGTCTCACAGTACCCAGGGCTGTCCCTGCTCTCTGCTCGTGTCCCCCGGCCGCTCCCACGGAGCCCCTGCTGGTGCTGCTCCAGCCACACGACCCGCGGGGCATGGGCTGTGTTGGGAGTAAGTCAGGAAGGTCCAGAGGAGGGAGACTGCCCTCCCGTAGACACTAAGCTCTCTTTCTCTGTTTCTACATGTACTTTGTTTTTTCCTATTTAACTTCTAAATGGCAGAAT